ATACACCACAGCATAAGAATAAATATTCTCCATCACTCAAGGGACTGCAGATTAAAGATAATTAAAATAACTCAGTGTTTAGTAGTTTAAAATTGTTTTACACTAAAGAGCATATTTTCATTGCTAGATTTTTGTTACTTTATTTTTCAAATATAAAATTCTTTTATGATTAGATTATTTTAACGGACAGAAAGGTGATTAAGAGAATACCCCCTTTAAAGTACCTATATGAAGTCGTTTATAACCTAGTAACCACATTTAACCTTACAACCAAAAGTTACTAGATAACATTTGCAAGGGATTCAAATCAGTACAAATCAGTTGTGTTGGGGACATTCAGTTTCTTTTTGAGTGACTTGATTACTGAAGAAAATTCTCTGACAACTTCAAGTGGGAATAAAATTACAAGTGAGAAAATTAAAAAGTGAAAGGGAAAGTGCTACAAATAGATAAGTAAAAAGTAAATAAAATATTTTTTTTTTATTTGAGGGAATGAGAGCGAGAACTCCCTCCCATCTTCTGGTTTTCTGTTCAAGCAGCCACAGAGCTGGGCCTGGGTGCTGAGAACTTAATCCAGGGTGCTGAGAACGCCTCCTATGAGGAGACAGGAATCCAGCTTTCTGAGCTATTGTGGGCACCTTCCAAGGCTAGCAGTGGCAACTAGCCAGAATCAGGAGCTGCAGCTAGTGGTCAAATCCAGGCATTCTCGTGTGGGACTAGGGCATCTTAATTGCTAGGCTAAATGCCTGCTCCCGGGTGAGCACTTTAACTACAGGCAGTGATGAACAAAATGATGACATACTATGATTGAAATAATAAGGAAAAAATGAAGTTATTTTATCAGGCTGGATGAATCAAAGTAGCAGTGCTTTTATGCAGAATGTGGCTGAGCTCCCACGGTAGGATTATAGTTGACTCCAAATGTGTTTACATAATGAACTTGGCTTTCCACACACAGAAATGTGGCATTTTAAATGTACCCTAAGTGGGATATTTAAATGCATTCTCTTCAATGCTTTCATACACTTGTAGAGAGATCCACAATGATGATTTTTTCCCCCACTGCAATATTTATTTTCTGTATAACTGGTAGTCACAGTAAATCCATGGAAAGTGCTTACTTCTGCTCTCAGTCAAGATCGGTTCTATGACTCAGATCCTCTGAGTCAATCCCATTCCCTAGTTTGTCTTCCCATGGTGCATGATTTTACTCTTTCATAGAAAGATGAATGCCAAACTTTGGAGGAAGCCTCAGTGAATATAAAGAATTCCATAGTTACAATTAAAATTTCCTAGTGAGATTCTAGATTCTGAAATGTATTCTTAATGTAAACAAAAGGAAGACTAGAGTCTTTCTTCTGCTTGATAATGTGGAAAACTGTAAGGTATGAAGGAACTTCAGAAAATGCATTGAAAGAGGTTTGAGGCAAAAAAAAAAAATCAAAATCATGCAGTTTTCCTTTAATTCACACTGTGTGATATCTTAACGTAAGTGACATAAAATGCATGTCTCTATGCACCGTGATGTGGGTGGGAGGTGCTATACTGGAATGAAGGCAACAGGGCCGGAGCACTGTCTATGGTACCAGCACAAACCACAGGGATGAGAGGCCATAGGTCAACACCTGCAGAGTGTCTGTGCCTTCCACACTGTCGTCTCCACCACCCCCACTGCTTACCAGGTCCAAAGGGCCCCAGCTGTGGGGTTAGTTCTTATCAGAATAGTCCAGCCTTGAGCAACAGCACTGATGGTACACAAACCCCAAAACCTTGGCTCCTTTAGGGCACAGTGCTAGCAGTATATAATACCAAGGCAGGAGTTATTAATGGCCCATTGGCCAGAGGTGTTTCTCTGAGTGGCACAAAGCTTCCAGGTACATTGTACATCGTATCTCCTACATGCAGGCCTTGGTGGCCGTGTTTGGCTGACAACTCTTGGGTAGCCCAGATGATTCCTCATGTGCAGGCACACTGGTCAGGATAGGAAGTAGAGCCCAGCAGCCACAGTGCAGTCCTGCAGGTCGTTGAGAGCCAATGGCTTGCAACCACCAGATGCTGGGGCAGGGTACAGCACGGCTCAAAGGAGGAGCTGTGGAATTTCTGCAGCCAGGCCAAAGTGTGGGCTCCCGGCAGTTGCACACCCAGGAGTGTGATTGAGTTAAGAGTACTGCAGGTTCCTCAAGGACACCAGGGACTGTGGGCAGCACTAAGAGGTTTTGGTAAACAGAAAAGCCTCAAGAGGTGGCCAAGGTCATGGAAGGTATACAGATGCACACAGGCAATATGGTTCTGGTGTAGTCAGAGGCAGTCAGGTGTGTACAGGTCACAGAAGGTTTGCCTGGGCACACGGCAAGGCCCATTACATGGTTGCCTGTGTGGAAGAGCTAAGGGCAGTTGCCCTAGCTGTGGAAAACATCCTTAGGTAATGCTTGCAGCCCACTATCCTGCAGATAAAGATGTTTGGCAGGGCTGGCAGGCCATGGAACAGGCCCAGTCCTTGCTCCTGTATATCACCATAGTCCAGAGGCAGCATGTGCAAGCTGCAGGATGAGGCAGGTCAACTGTACCTGGTCACTGAGGCCCAGCTGCTCCATGAAGACTAGGTCAGGGAAGGGGGCCACATTGAATTGAAACTGAATCTTTTCATGCAATGCAATTTCTATGAACTTTTTTAAATACCGTGCATGTTAAAAAGCAACCAATGGTCTGTTCAAAGTCCAGAAGGACTCAACCATATCTGTGAGGAATACTTTGACTGACAAGACTGACAAGCAGTCGGAGCTGAAGGCATGAAACATATATGTGTGTGAGTGCATGCTCATATATGTGGGATGCTTCTGGCTGTTCTGTATGATCACGGCAGTCCATGAGCTTACCCATGGTCCCTGACTACTTATCTGTAAGCACCTGCTCAAGCGGGATAACAGGTGAACAGAATGCCAGTTTTACAAAGTGACATTGGTCATTGCAGTCTTCAGCTGTCACAGGCTTGTCTGTGAGTTGTGTCCCTCACAATGTGTACTCCATAGTGCTAACCTGAGCCTTGCCTGTTTACTTTGTCTAGTCATATTCACGGGCTAGAGAATTCCTGAGGTGTGTGCCCTCTGTACCAGGCACTGTGCTACGATCTGAGAGTTGAATAATGACTAACAGAGGTTTGCCTCACCCTCAGAGAAGTTGTGTTCAGAGCTCTCTTTTCCCAAACTACTAGATCAAAACCTTATTTCACCTGAACTGCCAAAAACATGATGTTCCAGGATCCTCCCATTATTGCAGTAATGATCATTGACCTGCCTACCCATGGGAAATCCAGCATTACGTCAGAGTCCCTGAGAATACTCGAGATGACATTTTTCACAATATTATAATGAGCTAGCATAAACTAAGAACAAGATTGGTAAGTTCAGCAAGAAACACTTAAAGTGTGAGAAATAACTTAAAATTACAAATCATCTGACATTGAAAAACAGTTCCCTGGATTTACCCTAGTAAGAATGAAGTTGATCTGTTTTTGTCAACTGTGCAAAGAAAAAAATAAGATGATTTGTAAATACTAGCATAGAAATTTTGATCCACAAAGTCCTGGTTTATCAGCCCACATTCTTAAATGCCAAGAATATAAATGACATGGAATCTGAAATGATCCTTTAGGAGAAAGATAAAGATAAATAATTAGCTACTTACAACTTTGCTAATTAAACTGATCAGCTTTGAGCTGCTTTTCCTTATACCTCTTTTCAGAACCCAGCCACCTGCCCCTGGAGGTGACTTGCAAAGAGCAGGCCCCTCGTTGGTATTTCATGTTCTTTTGGTCAGAGACAGAGAACAAAATTTGTGCATGGTTATCAAGTTGCGAAGTCCTAATTTAAGTCTTTCCCCTAATTTCTGTTTTAGTAAAGAAAAAAAAATCCCAAAAGAATATTTTTGTGATATCATCCCAGATTTAAATCTCATGTCTCCAGTCTTCTTTCATTGCCATTCTTCATTCAAATGTATTCTCCATGGGAGAAGTGGCAGTGATTTTAATTTCTTTTAGATTTTAATTTGAAAGGCAGATTTACTGAGAGAAGGAGAGACACAGAACAATAGCTTTCCATCTGCTGGTTCACTGTCAAACGGTTGAAGTGGCTGGAGTTGAACCAGTCTGAAGCCAGGAACTTCTGGGTCTCCCTGACCGGTGTGGGATCTTAAGAACATGAGCCATCCTCTTCTGCTTTCCCAGGCCAGAAACAGGGATTCTGGATTGGAAGTTGAGCAGCAGGGACATGACCTGGCACCCATGTGGGATATTGGGCCCTGAAGGTGGGGGATTAGTCTGTTGAGTTACAGCATTGGCCACATGTGGTGATCTTTGAATATCTAAATCACCAGTGTTCCCAGTGCTCCCACTGTGAAGTACAGCTGTCTTGTCACCTTTGCAGTGCTGCGTGCTATGACCTCCACTTTTTCAACCTCTTCTGAGAGGGAATCATGCTTCCCTACTCAGAATGTCTTGGTCGCTCTGTTCTCCTCTTTGTCCCTTGGATGTGTGAAGTAGCTCTCCAATTCAGAGGCTTTGTCTCATAGAACACTCATCATATGATTTTTATCCAGCAAGTTCCTTCCTTACTTGGTCTCAGCTCACTTGCTTTCTCCATACAGAGTTCTTTCCTTGACCTTTTGCCCGCAAGAGCGACCTCCCTCCTCCTACTCTTCTCCCACTATTTTCTCTTCAGAACCTTCATCCTAATCAGTTACCTTTAATGTCATGTTTGGCTATTTTTTAAAGTATATTTTTGCAGGGTGCAAGTGCCATGCATACCTCTGTTGCTCAGAGCTGGTCTCCAGTGGCTGACATACAGTGGCAGAATGAGTATACCCGTGGCTAAGGGTCTAGCTTATTGTCAAAGACCCCCCAAAGCCTTAACTCCATACAACTAAATGTGTCCTAAGTTCCAATTGAATTTCAATCAGGGAAATGTGGATGTACATTTTAATTCAGTTTCTTTTTTCTGTTTCAGTCTTCTCTAATAAATAGTGACATTATCTTTGTGAAGTTGCATGCCCCATGGGAAGTACTTGGAAGATATGCAGAACAAATGAATGTAAGAATGCCTTTCAGGTAGGTGTCAAAGTATTTCCTCCCACTCCCTCTGCTGCTTTACTAAAGGCCTCATGTTCTCTTGCTAGGAAAAAATAAAACCAAAGTGCAGACTGGACAACCATTAGACGGGAAGAATGCTCCATGTATTTATAGGTGCAAATAAATTGCCATGGCCCCTTTCACTTTCTGTGAAATATTTGAGCAAATTCAGTCATTTGCAGGCAGTGATTTCAAACACCTATAATAATGAAGCATTTTCCAGGTAGCATTTGGTTTTTTAAATGCCGTTTATAGAAGCACCTTGCTCCTTACGGACTAGTCCCTTCCAGCCAAACATTTAATCTCCTTCCATAGAAACAAGCATCAAGAAGTTTCATGAGAAAGTGATCTGCTTTTTAAATTATGTTCAAAATATCCTGTTCTTAGTTTTTAAGAAGCCACTATGCAGACACAAAGGCTTGATATTTGTACCAGGAGGAATAGGAATGACTCTTGCATTGATTGACTTTCATCTCAGTGAATATTCTTATTTCACCTGTGGACTAGAAAAAAGTGATCTCCATTTTCTTGGTAAAAGGAAAATGGTAAATCAAACTTGGAAATGATAAAACTAGCTGGGAGTGCCTGTTATGGAATCTTTGAGAGATTGGGGGTACAGTAGCAGCTGTAGGAAAGGACAGTTTCAAAGGAACTTGAAGAATTAAAAATGTTTTGTTTGCAATTTGCAGGTAAAACTAAATCAAGTGACAGAAATTAGGCAAAGTGGTACCAGTTGTACAATACAGCTCTTAATGAAGTTCAGAAAGTTATACTGACAAAGAGCTCTGTATATTGAAACAGAGAGAGAGGAGTGTGGGACACATTTAGAAATAGGGCAATTTCCATTCATAGGACGGGGATAAATCTCCCTCTTGAGCATTTTTCTTATTTATTGACTTGTGTGTCCTAAGAGCCAGTCAAAATATAGGCTAGGGTTTCTAGCATCTGTTTCCCCACAGGTAAAATTCTCACAGTCAATAAAGTTTTGATCTTATAATTTATTTTGTATATAACATGTAAAAGGAAATCCGAGAAGGCAAGGATTTAATAAAGAACTACTACTTAGTTTCCATTGAAATGATTGCCATATAATACTTCATTAAAGTCAATTATTTGTCCATGATCTTACCTAACATGAACTCATGGGATATTATATGTAATGATCAAGAGGAAGAGAAATGATTACAAAATATTCCTCACTGGAAATTGGTAGTTCCTCCCAAGTATGAATTTCATATCTTCTATCGGTACATACTTCTGAGACAGAGAACCCAAACTTAATGTGGAAATGTGAGTAGTGTTAATACAGAGAAAGTTCCCTTATTCTGGCAAAGATTTCAAATTCAAAGAGCACAATGGCATCAAAGACAGCACTGCTGCAACACCCATACACAGCAGAAAAGTGCCACCTACAATCAGCATTAATAGCATTCTTCTGCAACATTCCAATGTGATCTAAGCAATACCATGAAAAGGAGTGTAAATATTAATCTTAGATATAGGAATTCCTTGCAATGTTTAGCAAAAAAAAATGCCACCAACTATTGTTTTCCATCTTCCTAGATAGGATACCTGTAAATAGGAAAGTTAGGCAGTAAATATACCACTTAGGGCAAGTTGGAAGTCAATAGTATGTCACTGAAATAGTTTCAGATTTGAGAACTTGTGTAGAGTGTTATACTAACTGGCCTTCTTAATAGCGATGTGGTTTTACCTAACCAAATATGTTGCAACCTAATGCACTTAAAATCAATGCTGTTATTTTGTTCATGTTTTCAGACAAGTAATTCTAGCCCAAGGACACACCTACCTTTTCAGAGAATTTTCCCACTATATTATTTCAGCAAAGTGTAGACATCAATTTAGCTGAACTTAAATACTCCAAAGAATCTTGTTTTCTGTATTCTGTATTTCTGATTCATGGATTCAATTTTCTTGGATTATTATTCCTCCAGTGGTTATAAATACAATACCTGTATCCCATGGATATGCTATTGTAAAGTGTGGACAGTTGATTTTAGAGCTGTTTTTAGGTTTACAGAAAATTAGCTTCCAAAATACTCCTTCCAACTCCACTCAGTTTCTTTATTAACATTTTGCCTTAATGTGATATATCTGTTATAATTGATAGGCCAACCTTGGTACATTAATATGAACTAAAGTCTGAGGTTCAGGGTTCCTTATTTTGTTGTACAGTTCTCCTGGTTTTAACAAATTCATGTTGTCAAATATCCACAATAACAGTGGTATGCAGAATAATTCTTGCTACCTTAAGAATGCCCTGTGCATCTCTTATTCGTATCTTCTCCTCCCTGGCAACCCTGTATCTTTTTAATTATCTCTATAGACAATGTCACAGACATACAGACTATTTAGCGATTATTGCCTATTTTCCAAAAAATGAGATAGCTCAGAAAGAGTTCAGAGTACATCCAAGACACATCAGTTTCATTACTTCACCACTGGTCGAAGCCTAGTGAGGGAGCGTCCATAAAGCCTGCAGCTCTCCATTCAAAATTGCCTAGAAGTTCTCAGTATTTTAAAAGTACAGGTATAAAGCAATATAGCAGGCTCTTATGAATTCTGATTATAAAACCTTTTTTTCTAGAGTCCTTGGGATTCACCTATTTAATTCATCTAAAACCAGAGCCACATGATTAGCAAATGCCCCAGAGAATATTCTTAATATACTGATTGTAAGATGTATTTTTTATATTATTCCTTTTAGGACATTGAGAGAAATGTTCTGTAAAGTCTATATAAATCATTCCTAAACTAATACAGTGCCCATTAAACTGTGTATGTTGCCCCAGTCCATCTCTGCTCCCCCACACACATCCTGCCTTGGGTGGGAGGGGAAATGCTGTCCTCAACTGAATTCATGCAAGTATCAATTTCTCCGAATCATGACTCAGTTTTGTTGGCAAGGAGCAACCATAAAAGATTATGATAATAGGAAGGGGGCGGGGAGGATAGCATTGGAAACTTTCAGTGATGCAAAAATGCATGCCCTGTGTTCCCACTACATTTCTCACTGTTAATCTCTTTTTAGTTTTTTCTTCTTCACCTCTTACAGGCTTCTATCTTCAATCTCCTTTCCTTCCTTGCTAGTTCAAACTGTAACTGACGATGGGTTTTCTTCTCGACTGGCTTCATTTTTGCTGTTCTTCCAGGAGAAAAATCTATTACCTGCCCCGCCGGTACAAGTTCATGAGCAGGTTAGTAGCATGCTCTGTCATGATGCTGTGTGTTTGCCTGTTGACCTCTCTGCTCTTGAACATTACAAGGTGTTATAAGCCAGGGGAGATGAACCTTTATCAAAAGGGAAGACCTTCTGCTGTGCATATTGCTTTTAAAACACAATCAGAAAAATTACCCAAACTTGGACCCATTGAGTTCATCTGGGGCCTAGATGTTCGTTTTTTTGTTTGTTTTGTTTTTCTTCCCTGCTTCAGTTGTATGCAATTTGAAGCTTAAGTATAGTCACCTTCTAAAGAGGTTGATGGTTAGTTGGCATCCCATCGTAGGAAGGAAGAACAATGTTAATACCAAATTGTCAATAAAATATGCAGATGTATAGCATCATTCATGAGCCTTTCATATCACCCTCCTTTTTAAAATCAAGTCATTAGAGGAATCTTGCACTTATTGTAATTTGAATCCTTCCCAAGCTTGTCTCTCCTTTTTCTTTTGTAAGGAACTGAAACAAATGAAAACACATCAATAATGATGTACCTGGATGTTGTCATTGGCTAATCCAATTCCAGCATCTTAATTGGCCATGTTTTTCCTTTCACCTTGGGCTGAGTTGATGGCTAGACTGGAAAGCCATTGAATCTCTCTCAAAGTCCCATGGTTCGTTTCTGTGAAACTTAGGATTCATGTTCACTGTTTTGGGTGCTTTGCATGGTTATAAATATGTTTGGTATATTTTGGTGAGCTTACTTTCTGAAATGCAACAAAACATGGTGTCAGAGTTGGTATCCAAGAAAGGAAAATGTTCTTTTTTCAAAATTTCTCTGTCCAGCAATCTTATCAGCAATTCCTTTGCTAGGCATTGGGCATGGCATTTCGACTCACATTGTTTAGTTAGTCCCTTGTCATCCACTGACCTATAAAAGCCTGGTGCAACAGTTTAGTCAATGTTAGTTCTCAAACCACAGGCAGCAACAGAGTCACCAGGAACAGCTTGCTCAAAACACAGGTGACTAAAACATACCCCAGCAAAACCCTGGTAGGGCCAGAGAATGTCCGTGTCTAACAGGTTCCCCAGCTGAAGCTAATGCCAATTTGGCACCCTAACTCCTATCTAGGGATAGTCTGCAAATACAAAGTACTTGGCTCTGAGAAAACGAAAAGGAAATTCAAGCCTCCTGTTGTTTGTTATCAGTCCAGAAGGGCTTCTTTTATTGCAAAGTAGGACTGTGGTATTATTAAATAATAATAAAAACCTCATCTGTAGTTTCCTTTGAGACATATCAACCCTGAAAATGTAATCTGTTGGAAACATGGTCCATTATTACAATATTCTGCTCTGAGAAAAAGGTGTCTCCACAGTAGACATGTCTCATTTAATTCAATCTGATTAAGTTGTCATTAGTGCAGGCTGTCTCCTGGGTTTTAGTGGCTCAGAAGAAGAGGCCTTGACTTCTGCTTCCCCTGGATATAGCTGCAGCATCTGAGTTGGAAGTTTACAATGTATAAAGGCCAGTAGACAAGTTAGCATGTTGGGAACCAAGCCCTATAAGTAGGACCCTTAATTGTTACCACTCCTAAGGAAGGTAGGATTATCTCCCCCTTATAGGAAGGCATCCAGGGATCACGGACTGTAAGCAGAACCTTGCTAAGACACTTTGGCCAGCTGCAGCAGAGGTGGCATGTCTCTGCCCTTGTGCTTCAGCTGTATTGTCAGTTCATTCCAGCTACTTTTCCAGAATCTCACCTTCTGTGAGCCAGCATTTTGGGGGAGGAACATGAGCAAAACAACCCGTCAGAATAATCTCTTATAAAAGCAATTCACCTTGTGATTCAGATACTGACTTGACAAGTTCTGAAATGCCTGTGTGAAGATCCACCCTCTCTTTATTGATTTGCCTTTGTGGTCCACAAGAGGGCTTTTGCTCAGTGAATGGCAGACATGAAACAAGGTGACTTTGTATCCAACAAAACTCAATGCAAAATGGTTAACTGGTGTATTTCACTTCCTATCTGCCTGACAGAAGACACTTTGTTAAGTAAAATCTACTCCTATAGGAAAACAGAAATGGAATGCTTTCTGGTTTTTGGTTTCTAGTGTTAGCCAAGTAAATTTATAGGATTGCCAGGTTTTTTTTTTTTTAAACCTGAGAAGAGAGAGGCACACAAAACAGCTCTACCAGCTGGTTCATTCCTCAAAAACCTACAATGGCCCCAGCTGGGACTAAAGTCCATTTTAATCATCAATGCTGCCTCTCAGGGCCTGTATAAACAATAAGCTGGAGTCAGCAGTGACCCAGGGATCAAACCTTATATGGGCCATGGGAGTCCTAACCAGTACCTTAACCACTAAAGCAAATGCCTGCCCCCCTCTTGGAAGTTGTATTAGATTATGGTAGTACAGACTTTTATATGTAAGGGGAAATTACAGCTTTTTAATTTGTTTTGGGAAGAGAATTTTCTACATAAGATTTCATAATTTTCTTCATCCTAGAAGCTAGCATCTAATTGTTCCTTTGTACAGCCAAGGCATTGTGCAAACACTTGGTATTCATATCCTACTTAGTCTCCACCACTGCCTTAAGCCATGGGTACTTTTAGCTCGGGGGGGTTTATTCACTTGTTCAGCCACTCCTTGTTAACAGTCTGTGCAAATGATTTGTGAATTTGCTACCAGCCTTCTGCAAAAGTCGTCACTGTGTATGAAAAGTTTTCCATTCAGTCTTGTAAAAAGGAAGGTTGTTTGTTCAGATGACAACACCAAAATATTATTGCCCAACTCACCAAAAGCAAGTAGTCTCTAGAGAACATCTGACTGTTCATCATTTTAGAGAAGAGTTTACGAAGGCTTGGCAAGGCCAAGAATGTTGTTGCAGACCACTCACATAGAATCACAGAATCAAGATTCTAGCTTATGCCCCCTCATTTACTTTCTAAGCCAGTGGCTTCTCCTTTGCATGGCCTAAGGGGATACACCATGATTCAGTTTGGAAACAGGGGTGGGTTTGTGGAAGGTCAGCTTAAAGGAGCCATCATTCATCATGTGCCTGCCAAGCTGCCACAGAAAAATGGTCTCATTTCTGGAGCTACCCGTGGGAAGCAGAGACTGACTGGGGAATGGCAACCTTAGCACAGTGGGAATCTGCCTGGCTGGGTCCTGCTCCTAAGGGGAGAGTCAGACAAGTCTGGACGGAAGGGTGTGAGTGTCCTATTGTTGTCACAATGCCTTGCCACAACTCATCTGTGCAAAACAACATAAACCTATTATGTCACAGCTTCATAGGTCAGAGAAGACCCAGGGAGGGGGACTCGGGCAGTTTCTCCTCTCAGTCTCTCCCACAGCTGAAACTGCAGCCAAAGCTTGCCTAGGGGAGAATCTGCTGGCACAATTTCAGGCTGCTTGCACAATTCAGCTTGTGCCGTTATAGAGCCAAAGTCTCTGTTTCTTTACTGGCCGTTGGCCAAAAGCTGTGCTTGGCATCTCGCCTTTTTCATCTTCAAAGCCAGCCATGGAAGATCGAGTTTTTCTCATACTCAAAATCTTCATGTTCTGCCATTTCTCTCATGCATGCAACCAGAGAAAGAGCTCTGCTTTTAAAGGGCCGCTGTCCTTGCCTTGAGGCCTTGCATGAATCCAGGGTGCTTGCCTCAACTTTACTTCTGTGATTGCACCTGTCTCTTCAAAGTCCCTTTGCCATGTAGCATAGCACACTTCCAAGTTCAGTATTAAGGGTGTAGGCACGTTGTGTGAGTGCATGTGGCAGTGGGGGGCTGGGCAGGGACAGTTCTGCTAACCAGAGGAAAATGGCAACTACTGACCATGTCTGAGTGTTTGTTCTTCTATGGGCAGGCAGCCCTGATACTACCTGGAAATTCTGTACTTCACTGTCCTATATCTGCTTGAGTTCTCTCCTGGAAGCCAGTCTGCCCCCTCTACCCTTGGACCTAGCCACATGTTTCAGAGCTCATTTTATAAAGACTGATTTTTAATTGAAACACAAGGTTACACAGAGAGAGGGAGATATGCAGAGAGAGAGAGCTCTTCCAGCCACTAGTTCATTTTCCAAATGTTTTAGTAGCTGCATCCAGGGTGCTTGCCTCAACTTTACTTCTGTAATTGCACCTGTCTCTTCAAAGTCCCTTTGCCATGTAGCATAGCACACTTCCAAGTTCAGTATTAAGGGTGTAGGCACGTTGTTTATATATATATATGTTTATATATGTATATATATATATGTTTATATATGTATATATATATATATATATATAAAACACTTTGATTCAATGTCCTCTTTCTTGAATGAATTTTAAGGTAGTCAGACTGAACAAAGCCCAGAGCCATGGCAAAGGCCACCAGCTTCACCTAGACAGTCTAACTGATGAGTTTTTTTAAGGGCTAACTTATGAACTTAGACAAGTGATAGATTCTGGTGGAATCTATCACTTTGAATTAGAATAGAAAGAAATGTCGAGACAGGCTAGTTGTCCAATTCTATATAAGGATAAGGAGGAAATAACAATAACCAGTAGTACTGTACACCAGACATTGTTCTGAACATTTTGCAGAGCAACTTCAAAAAGCTAAAACAGAATTAGAAAGGTGTTTATTGTGGTGAAAAAAAACTTCAATGCTCAAATAGCCTTTTCATAGTATGTATTTTTAGTAAATGTATGCATACATCTAAGTATGCACACATACCCAAAGTTTTTGCACTAAAATAAACGTATCTTTTAATTCTGTTTGTTTTTCCCCATGAACCTTGCTATATACATAGAGCAATTCCTCATTACAATCTCATGAATTTGTTGTCATTGCTATACCTATTTTATAGATAAGGAAATTGAGGCACAGCAGAATTAGTTACTTGCCCAAAGTCACATCCCAAATATTTACAAGGCCATCATCTAAGTATAGGCATTCCATGTTCTCAGTTTGAGAGTCCTGTGGCTTCTCTGAAGCCCATCATACCACTACATTTTAAGTATTTCTAGAGACGGGGTGAGAGGGCAAGAGAAGAAATGTTGGGAGAAATAAAAATATTTTCCCTTCCTTGTCTGAATAATCTTGAGTACAATCTTTTAGTGTATGTGTATGTGTGTGGCGAGGGAGAGGAGTGGATTACGGAGATGGGATTCTCTCTTCAAGAAGGAGCCTAGGGCCCTTGTGAGTTTCTTTGTACATGGAATGTGCAGGTGTTCTGAAAATACTCAGGTAGCACTGGTGAGACGCAACAGAATCAAGAATTAAAATTTGCAAAAAAAAATATTCCCTTTAGCTGGCAGTTTCACCATGATGCTTAATTTTATGCCTCCACTTGGCCAAGAGTTACCTGGATAGCTGGAAAAATGTCAATTCTATGTGAGTTGGCTAGCGTGTTTCCAACGAAAGTTAGCTTTTGACATAGTAGATGGAGTAGGGAAGTGGAGGGGTACCATCCTACTCATTGAAGGCCTAAACAGAACCAAAAGATGAAGGTTAAGGTAGAGAAGATGTCATTAGAATGTGAAAAGAGGTGAATTGGCTGTTGGCTTAGAAGTTTGTAAATACTGATAAGTCCCTCAAACTTCAGTTTATAAGCAGGAGGCCTAGGAAAACTAATTATATAAATTAAGAAGCCACTGAACTTATCTGGACACTAAGATGCTGGACTTTATGCTAGGTATATGCTTGCAATGAAGGAATCTCAACTGAACTTGAACTGTGGTTATGCAGCAAGGCGGAGGAATCCACCATGGGGGGAGGGTTGTGGGAGAGATGGGGGGAAGTCCCAGTGCCTATAAAACTGTATCACATAATTAAAAAAATAAATAAATAAATTTCCAATGTCTGATAGATGCCCCAGCTCAAGCAGACAGGAAACTCAGCTTCCCTTTGTGTCCTGGTTCTATCCAGGCCCCCGGGGCTGGATGATGCCAGTCAGCAAGAGGGAAGGCAAATTTCTATACACAGTCTACTGACTTAAATACTAGTGCATTCTGGAAGGATGTTTACCGATACATACAGAAATAATGTTTTACCAGCTATCTGGGTTCCTCTTAGCTAAGTCAACTTGACGCATAAAATTAGTCATCACATTCACTGAAAAGGACAAATTGCTGTGCAAAATCATTTTACGCTGAATAAAATAAAGCATGCCAAACATAATACTCTATCAACTATTTCTGCAGAGTAAAACCCAGAGTCAAAAGTCTGCATTTGGGTCTTGAGTTTTATTCACTGGCTGGGTAACTAGGGTTGAACAGCCATCCCATCCATTTTGTGATGTGTAACCTGGTGCCATTTCAGTTGAACTTCAACTGAAAGAGATACTGCTTGATAAATGCTCTTAGGCCAAATAATATTTTTCAGAGGCACTGATACTTAAGGGAGCATAATCATGTCAGAGTCTCTTATGGTTTTTGCTCCTTCTGGTGTTTTGCCATGAACAGTGATTGAGAGCTGGTCCCATGGAATGCCAAATGTTTTCATTCATAAGAGTCAGTGAGGGATCAAGGGAACAGAGACAGCAAGGAAGCAGTGGCTTGAACCTGACTTTCAGGTTGTTGTTGTTTCCTTTGTGTGTGCTAGGCCACGTGGCATAGCCACATCATGATATCCCAGCACCAAGGGAACTCTGGAGTCAGCTAGAAAAGAGAGGACTGAAAACAAAAGTGTCTACTCAGGGAAGGGATGAGAGTCGGGCAGCCAGCGTGGAGGCCCCAGGGCACACTCTACCTACTGGGATGTGCTGGCATCCCCACTCCACAGCTCACTACAGTCAGAGAGCCCTTCTCTGGCCTCCGAATTTCTCCAGATAGGAAATGAGTTTCTAGATTCTATAGAGTTTGAGAAGTAAGGGTCTCTGCTGCTTTGCTTCAAGAATGTTCAGCTTCCTTTTCAGAGCCTACCAGCCACATTAGCACCATTTACTTGGTCATTTATCAGCATAGAGTGGGTGCCTGTCTTACTCCTGACAGCTATCTTATAGATGTGTTGAGGTCATCGGGTGAGATTGAAATACCACTGGAGGTCCAGCTCTTCTCTTTAAATCTGTGAAATGGGGGTGCCAAGAGTGCCTGCTGCATGTGGTGTTAGCAGCATGGCTCTGTGTAGTCAGTCTTCTCTGCTATGTTATGGGCAATGCTGACATGCTATACCTTTTGATTTTGCCTCCCATGTACCACAGGATCGATAAACAAATCAGCAGGTTTCGGAGATGGTTACCTAAGAAGCCCATGAGGCTGGACAAGGAGACACTGCCAGACCTGGAGGAGAACGACTGCTACACTGCCCCTTTCAGCCAACAAAGGATCCATCAGTGAGTGTTGCATATGAGAACTCTAGTCTTTCTAAGGGCACATCCCCAGTGGCAGAGCTTCCCCCTGCATGCCTTTGATTTCTTTGTGTGTGGAAGGAACTGCATAGTAACCTTTTAAGAATCCTGGGGAGTGTTCTTATCCCTTTTCACTATTCATTCCAGTTGGGAAGAGTTAGTAATTCCCATACATCCCTATATCTCAGTGACATGAAACCATATAATACTTGTCATATGTGTATGGGATGAATGGTCAACTCCATGGTGGTACCCAAAACCACCCAAACTCTGTGTATCTTTGGCTCTGCCAGCTAGTTTGCATTTAAGCAGCAGACAGGGAGAAGTAGCCTGTTTTCTTCACTATTGAAAAGAATATTTTGTTTTTGTCTCAGTTTACTTCTCAGTCCTCTTTCCCTCACATGCCACCTGTCAGCTTACTCACTGACTCATCTCTCAGACCATCTCAGAACAGTCATCTGTCAATTTTGACATGTGAGAATGGAACAAAAAAAGTTGACTCGATAACTGAGCAGTGAGGAATTGCTAATGTGATAGAGCATTTACACTGAAGCTTCTGAAATGGCAAGTGATGATAACTGGATGGCAGGAGACAGAAGTGTGCCAACACAACAAAGGGTGAACAGAGGGGGAATAAATCTGGCCAGCTCAGCTGCACTCAACCAGACTGCAGGAGTTCCCAGCCTCTCCTGCCCCAGCCAGGGTGACAACCTAAGTGGCAGTAACTTACCAGAAGACAGGAAAGGGCTGACATTATTTTTTTAAAGCCTGCTCATTTTGACAAAAAAAAAAAAAAATTAAACCAAAGAATCATTGTCAAGAAATTGCAGGGAGTATGAAATATAGGGCATGTTTCAGCAGCAGAAAATCAATTAGTTTGTGAGCCTCTAGAGAACAAAAGAGAAAGAAAAGGCATAGATGGTCAGCCTCAAAAAAAAAAAAAAAACACGGGGGGGCGGGGGGTAATGTAGAGAAAGATGAGCTGCATGCAAGGGAGGGGACCCCAAAATAAGCAGCCTATTTCTTTGGAAACACCCCCAAGGAGCCCAAGAACTTGAGCTATCCTGCCTTCCAAGGTCATAAGCAGGAAGCTGGATCAGAAGTGAAGCAGCCGAGATATGAACTGGTGTCCATATGGGAAACTGGTGCTTGGCTGGTAGAGGATTAACCTGTTGAGCCACTGTGCCAGCCATTAGCAACATTCTTAAAATTCTATGTGGAGTTCTTCTAGAGGCTGTTCCCAGTGGGCTCTTCTGCATGGTTCCAGAGAATTAAATGTTTATAGTTATAACCTAGAAGAGTATACAGGTGATGTCTAGTACAACAATGTAGTAACCCCTAACCTAAAATGCCATGATTAGAACAATTCTATAAATGTTAGAATTGAGAGCAATTTAAAAATAACTTCACATTATATATGAATATGTAGATATGTCTGCATTAGAAAAGCAGTAAAAGCTAGTGAGTGTGTTTCTAGAAGCCATGTCTATTGCTATTCAGCCATGTTATACAGTATCACTGTCGCAGGTCAGGGCCTACTGGCTGGTTTTCAGGCATGATTGTGTGGCTGCATAAACATCTGACCCACAGAAAGTTTATTCATGTTTGCCAGCTGTAGCACCTGAGCTTGTCACCGTTAGGGTCAATTATTTCATTGAGTTATAGGGCTTCCAAGAGAGGTCCCATAAAGCTCAGACAACTTCAGAAAAGGTAAATCAATACAACCAGGTGAAATGTACCATAGGATTGTGATATCTGTTATTTATTTAATGCTTACAAAATTCCAAGTGCTTCACAATTATCAACTCATTTAGTCTTATCAGTAAGATGTAGGCATTACCCTCATAGTCACAAAGGAGGAAAACTGAAGCACAGGACTAACTAATTTACCCAAGGTCACCCATTTGGTAAGTGGTAGGGCTTGAATTCCAAGGCCAGGCACTAGGGCTTACAGTTCTGACAGTCCAGGAGCACAGTCCCAGTGTGAGGGCCCCATACTATCTCCTATCACATCAGAAAAGCTGAAAGGGGAAATGTGTGTGTATGACAGGGAGGGGACAAAGGAGCAGTCAGTCTCTTTTGCTGTCCTTCTCTTTCTCTCCTTCTCTATCTCCCTCTTCCCTCTTCCTCTTCCTGGCAACCCAGTCTTTCAAGAACTCCAGTCATCCCATCCTGAGAGTGGAGCCTCCGTCACCCGATTACCTCTCCAAGGACCCGCTGCTTCTCTACACCTTTACCCTGGCAAATGAATTTCAACAGGAGTTTTGATGGGACAAGTTACATGCAAAACATAGCAAATTCCAACCCATTTTGTTGCTTCAAACAACAGAACTTATTGTCTTACGGTTTTATAGTTTAGGATCCAATGGCATAGGTCTCGCTAGGCTAATAGAAGGTATATCAGAGCTTCATTCTGGAGTCTGTTGGGGATAACCAGTCTCTTTGACTAATATCTGGTAGCTGCTGTATTTTGCTCATGTGATGTGAGTCATTACATTACACCATCTAGCCTTGCTTCTGCCGTCACATCTTTTGCTTCTTCTCTGAGTTTACTGCCTTCCTCTTTCATTTTGAGGGACTCCACTGGGCCCACTTGAGTAATCCAGGATCATCCTCTTGTACTCAAGTCAGCAGTTCAGCAAACTTAATTCCATCTGTTACATTAATTCCCCTTTGCCGTATAGCTTAACTTGCTCACCAATTCTAGCTTTTAGGATGCAGACATCTTTGGTGCATCATTTTTCTTTCTTGCACAGTTATGTAAATTGACCAATTTCTAAATTACTGAAGCTATGGGGTAGGTAAATTTTGATGCAAAAAAAAAAGGAGAGAATGAAGGGAAGAAGGTTGTAGTATGATTTGGGAACATAAAATGAAACATGTCATTAAATTAAGTATTTGTCACATAGAAAGCACTCAATAATTGATAGCTATTATCATTATCAGTTATGATGAGCCAAGAGTCAAGTAAGAATCATTGAAAGAATCTGAAGGTGTTCAAATGGAAAATGAAGTAATAAAAACTAATTTTAGCAAGTTGACTATCTGACCTGACCTAGACTAGGGTTATTTTTCAACTAAACATTGCTTGCTATCCTAGCTATGAAGCTGTGTCACATCTGTTACCTGTCTGGCATTTTTCTTTTTAACAAAAATAGCTGAAAAAATGGATTATTTTAGCATGTGCCTTTTACTGTATTTTTTTTTCAAAACTTTTAGAGATTTTCTGTTGTTTTCATTTATCTGAAATCTTTAGAGAATCCTATAGACAAAGAGAGGCCAAGTTTGATGTTGGAAGGATTAACATTGTTTTAGTGCAGTCTCGGGACACTTGTTTTCTGGCAGTTTCTCAATTGGCATGCTGATCTCCAGTATACAGATCGTTTATATTGATTCATGGAGTCAGGGGAAATAGATCTAGGCTCTGAAAAGTTTTAAAATGAGGTGAAAATGAAGCAAGTTACACAGTCTTTGTGCTGCTGAAGATTGGGAGTCTCCTTTTGAAGGACATAACTCAGTTGCAGGGCACAGAGAGATCACCAGCCACGTGAGGACCCAAATCTCTGGGAGTTTGAAGAGCCAGTCCTCACTTAGGTGTAACCTTAATATTTCAAGCCAATGATAAATCATTTGCAAATGTTGTTGCACTAATCTACCTTCAAATAAATAGCTCATTTCCCCCACCTATCAGTCCATTCATTCAGCAAATGTGTCCAATGTGTGTTATGCATCAAGAATTGTACTGTAGTAGAGAATTATATTTGTATGTGATCATATGTGTGTTTACATATGTATGCAGGAATATGTTTTTTAAACTTTTAACTTGACCATCTTAGGTTGTACTGACCGAGAGATAATTTTCCTTATAAAAATGATAAAAAGGCTTTTTAACAATTATTTTTATTTATACAAAGTGAACAAATTTCACATATTTAATGCAAGTTTAGCAGCATATTGATATTGTCCACCCTAACTGCTCCTATGCCTGCATCCCCCACCTACCCCTTCTTCCTTTTTTGTTTGTAATTTTTACAGTGGCATACTTTCATTTCACTTCATAATCACAGGCTTAATACTCCATTAGGTAAAAATATCAACACACACCAAGTAGAAATTAAAAAATAACCACTCTCAACAGAATAGACAAAGGTTATAAACAATAACCAAACCCAGAACGTCAATCTTGCTCACATAGATTACATTTATTGTTCTCTCTGTGTTATCACAGATCTTGGAAAATGTATTTATCTTTTGGGGACTGACTTATTTCATTAAGCATAAAAGTTTCCAATTGTATACATTTAGTTGCAAAACACAATATTCCATTCTTTTATGGCTGAGTAGTAGTCTGTGTTTATGAGAGAGAGAGATCTGTACTCCTAAGTTTATAGCAGCTCAAATCACAGTAGCTAAGATATGGAAAAGGCCAAATGCCAGTCAATTGATGATTGGATAAAGAAAATGCTATAAAAAGCTATTCTAAAGCACATGTAGGAAGAGGAAGATTTGCCAACTTTTAAGTACAATAAAACAAGGAAGGGTTAACAGAAGAGGAAGCTGGGAACTAGGATTGTTCTGTCAGTGAATTGTACCTATGCAACTCTTTCGTGCTTTCCATCATCACAGCAGTAGGTCAGAAGGAACAGGAGGAGCAAGAGAGTGATTGTGTCTTAGAGGTAGGGGCAGTGTGCTAGGCCATGTATTCATTATTGTCTCTCTTAATCCCTGCCACACCCTGCAGCTTAGTTGGTTATCCTCATCTCACAGGAGAGAGAACAGAGGCTCAGAAACATTAAGTACTTTATCCAGGGCCACGCAGTCACATGTAGACTTGAGGTTAGGACACAAATCTGACCATCAGCCTATACCGCTTCTATGTACAGTAACTCAGATTTGTTGAGCACTTATTGTACAGGGGGCTACCCAAGAGATTGGAAGAAATTCAGAGATAGAGAAATGAAAACTCAAGAGGCTAAATTACTAAT